TTTGGAAAGATCCTTTTTGGTCGATCTTTCCACAACAAAATGGGAGGGTGCAATGGAATTAGGTGCTTCAATTTTTCGGGGGAAAAAAAAGAAATTTCAAATGAATTACGATAATTTTTGGTGAATACACATAACCCTGAACATAACATAAGGTCTACTCGTATATCTCGTGTGTGGTTATGGTTCTCGTTCGTCCAGTGGTTCCATAATGGTGGACAGTGCAGGGATAATCCGCTTAAAATCTGCGAGCGCTGCTCGACTATTGTTTTTCGTGACCTCTGGGTCTGGCCTCTCTCATTTTCGTAGATGCGATGACGCGGGTGGCTGGTGTCCCGCGATGATTATTCGGAGTGATCGGGGAAGGTTCCCAGTGCGGGACAAACTCGACCGTAAGAGATTGCTCGGTCTCCGCTTCTCCACGCTCGGTTTTCTAGCCTGGGCCGTTATCCTGGCATTTTCCCTTTGTCTGGTCCTTCGCCCGCTCGTCCCCTTCGCCGCCATGTGTCAGTCAGTCAATCAGCGGAATCTAGCGCGGTTCTACGCGCCCTTCAAAAGCCCCCACCGTCGTCGATATTAAAAGACGTCCCTTATCCTGTTCCTTCCTGACTTCTGTTTCGTCTCTTTCCGGTCGGTCGTCGTCGCTCTCGTACGCGGAACTTTTTTATTCGCGGATCCCGAGCGTGACCCCGCGGCGAACCGATCCGCACGAAAGGCCCGTACGTTCGCGACATTAACGAATTAACATCTCACGTGACACTTTTGTTACGGCGGAATCGTTGCGACGGAAAGAAGGGTCGATCGCGCTGTAACTGTCGCTCGCGCGTATTATCGCCGGATGATAAAACGTTCGTGACTCCGGGCAGCTCGTGCGAATCTAACGGGTCTATCGGTTAGAAACTGCTCCTTTGTCATAATATAACAGTTTATTCTGAAACAAAGCACGCGACAAAACCCGAGCGAAGATTCTCATTCGACCGGCCAACCGACTGTCTCTAATTTGATTGTCGGGACTGGCGGGCGAGATGGCATTGAGACGGGTCAACCCGCTGTGAAAATCGGATATTCCCCGGATGTGCCCCCGGGGTATTGGAAAATCCAGTTATGATTTCGTGCGACTAGAATCGTTGTGTGTTTTTAGCTCGCGGTTAGAGTCGAAACGCTCGTCACTCTTCCGTTAAAACTCGCTCGGTCGGGAAATCGATTAGTGACGCGAACAATAAACGAACATTAAATTAGGTTTTGGAACAATCGCGAGTGTAACGATTTCGTTATGCGGCTACGCTCGATATTGGAGCCGGCGGTTTCCGGAGTTTATCTGTTTGCGGTGGAAACGCGGATTCGTTCTAATTCGAGTCGTTACAGGCCGTTGAACTCTTACTTTATTCCATCTACGAAACTCCATTACGGAGAATCGTCTGTCATTTTCGTTTATCATGGACACCTGAGTCACCTTTGACCCGTACTGTCTCGTACTTCCGGCATATATTTTTCTTCTACGGTCAATAAAGAATAGATAATTGAAACTCCCACAAAATGGCATTGCATCTTTCTCGATAATATTTGTCGAGCTCCGCGAACGGAACGAACTTTGTCCTGTCTTTATTTCGTGTTTGGACGCGGAACTTTGTTTCCGTGGCGTTTACACGGTGACCGAGGGTTCGATGGCGAGACCAGCCTCCTTCCATTTTGGTCCTCGTCTCTCTCTCATCCTTTTGTATTCCTCGACGGACAAGTTCCTGTATCCAGCCACGCGACTGAAAATATTAGCCGCGGGCGCAGTAGCGTTAAAGGGGAACGGCTAAATTAATAATTCGCAAATTGCCAAGAGAAACGCTACTGGAACCCACCCTCTAGGCGTCTCTGTTCATTCCTACGCAGGTTCGGTGGCATTCGAGGGCGCAACCAGCCCACTCTGTCGGCCTTAAACCGCTACTTTCAACAACTACTGTCAATTAAATAGCCAATTAGTCTTACGACCTCTCGAAGAAGATTCGTTAGCATTCTTGGCTACGTTGAAGCATCGCTCCATTAGCTGGCTCCGGGACTCTCGTTCTCTTTTCAAGGCCTCCCGACGAGCGTTTCTCGGATACCCAGCGCCGTCGAGAATTAATTATGCTCGCATCGGGTATTATGTCGTGGCTCGATTTCTCCTCTGTCGGGACGAGTTATCTATCCTTCGACTCGCGCGTTGTAATCGATATTGTTTCGAGCGATAAATTCAAAATAAAAAAAATAAACGCGTGCGATTTCGCCGGGCGTCCCTAATAACACCGATCGACAGGTTCGCGGACAAGGTGGTCTTTTTCTCTCGAGACACCCCGTGCGTTGCGCGAAACCGATCGCCGGAGATAATTTCAGCGGTCGTAATTACGGGGCCCCGTTCGTCGACCAGCATCGATCTCGCAACAGAACTTATTATTGCCAACGCAAACAACGCCATTATCGTCATACGGAATGGGACTTTCGAGCGGAAGATTTATTGATATTTACCGACGGTCCAGCTTCGTCTCGTTTCGCCGCCACTCTCGAGATACACCACATATTTTCTTAAACTAAAGGGACTTTGCGTCTCGAATTCCGCCACAATTTCACCGCCAGTTTTTCCTCGGCTCCGAGAGAGCCGTTGGTCCGTCAAAGACGAAACACCGCGATAACAATAGGCGAGCCTTGTCCGCACGAAAAGGAGATTACGTCGTTCCGCTAGGACTCGGAGGAACCATTAATTTCGAAGGACACTGCGGCACACGGTCATAAATAATACCGGGCTGGTGCACGTAATCCGCCGTTGGAGGAATATATTTTGGCTGTCCCATATACTTGGAAAACGGGTAAAAAGTCAGCGAGTCGATACCAATATCCGTCTCCATCGGATAGCGCGCGGAATGCCATTCGCCGGACTATTATTCTCTCGGCGTGTGCTACGGGAAACACGCGGTAGGCTTGTTTTATTCCCCGTCCGTGGCGTGCGCGCGAAACCCAGTCGATCGAGCACGTGTACACGGGAAATTGAAGGATGAAGATAAATGAGGATCCTGACGCGCGGGACTATCAATATCGCCGCGTATCGCGTACCCCGTGACGCTGTAGCCACCTGAAGCGCACCGAATCCCGTCAAATGATCGACCGCGTCGTTCTCATTTACGAGGCAGTTCCGTGTCCGCGGCGGCGAGTTTTCACCTCGTAAGTTTCGGCCAACGACCACCGATGTGGAGCACTGATTAATACGACGCTCCGAGGAACCGTATTCCGTGACCAAAATTAAAAACGAACCATTCTTTATTCAACGAGCCCATTCCCCGTTGTATGCGCTCGAAGATTTAATGTTGATCTAGAGAATTAGACTCGTCAAATTCACGCGAACGCGGGAAAATTATTACAGTCCGAAGATTACCAGCGAGCTTTCGTATTTGGTGAAATTTTGAAAACAAATATTGCCAAAAGGCTCCGAGGAATTAGGTCGGTCCGTGTAAAGGTAATTGATACAAAGTCGCGAGGTCCTCCACGCGGGCCCGAGAACCTTTCTCTTTAATTATATTTAATAGTGGCGGGCGCGTTTCGATGGGAAATGTCGAGGATCGGCCGAGCACGGGCCCCCTTGTGTATACGCGTGACGAAAAAAAAAAATCGTTGCTCGATCTTTTCGCGATAAGTGCGGCGGCCCAATTTTCGACCGTCGACTTTTTCTCGCCGGTCCGGGCCGCGCGATAATTTTCGGTAGACGCGTAGTTAGGAAACAAGAACGGGGGAATAGTGGGTTAAGGATACAGGCTCGTTCTTAACAAGGTCTACGGTAACAAGAGGGCCCCGCGAACCCTTTCTTTGTCGGTGCAAGGGGTGGAGGGAGGCCGGCGATTCCGAGACCTCGGGCGCCTTTTCAACATGTTAATTGTATATTTGAGGTGTGGCGATAAACAAGGCAGCGTCGGTAGCTCTCGTTGCCGTGGAGTCTTCATTACAGCTGGTAATATATAACCGCGGCGCCCCGAGGGGGCACTCTCCCGATGCTCCAGAAGAAGTTATGAACTCCTGTATACCCGGTGACTCGATGATAACAGGCGCGGCTCTCGAACCCCCGGTAGCTGGATCAGCAGAATGTCGTTTCGTGTCAAAAGGCTGGTCGGGCGGAGAGATCGCGGGGAATAATCGACCATCGACCGTTTTTCCATCGGTGTTCTCCGTGCTCTCGTTAGATCCGCACTCGAAACTTTTAATATATACGATATTAAGGGCGTATCGGAATTATTCGACGGGGCGCGGCTGGTTCTTGTACGCAATCTCGGTGGAAGCGGATTTTTTTCCACCGTGCTCGGTGAGCCGGCCGTCTAATCGCGGTCATGGATCTCTCGGCGTTGGTCGTGCCTCGCGGCGTGTTCCGGATAAGGGCTCGAACCGGAGAAAAAGAAGAGGAGCACACGCGTGATCTCGGGTGCATCGTGAAAGCAGCTCGTGACGCGTACACGTACACGGCCGGGATCGATTGGCCTTCGGGGCCGGCGAACGAGGTGCGAACCGGTTCCTCGGAGTCGATTTTCGACGTGGAATTCGGCGGCCCCGACCGCCCCGCGAACCAACCCTCCGTGCACGCAAGAAGCGTCGTTCCTTTCCGCTTTTCTCGCGGCAGCTTTATCCGTGAAACAGAGGTAGAGGGGCGACCAGTCCAACCGACGCCCCCTCGGTGTCAGATTTTATTTATCGCGCCGCGGCTTTTTGTTTCACGGTAAATACCCCTGGCATTTAAGAGTAAGACGTTCCCCGATTTATGGTCTCCGGGCTGCCTCGAGTCCCTCTTCTTGCTTCGTTCCAGGCGTAGAGCGCCCTTGACTGGCCCACTCCTTCGCCCTCCTCGATCTTTCTCCACCGTCTCAAGACCGCCGTCCGACTTGTCTTTCGCTGACTGTTGGCGTTTTCGTTTTAAAACGTTCCGGTCGAATGCTTCCCGGCCATCGATCGACGTTAAACAACAGAATAGAGAAAAAAAATCCCCGCTCCCACTGTTGCAGATCAACATGGAGGCGGTCACGTCGCAGGACTACGACTCGTCGATACTCAGCAGGAACTTCAATCAGGTGGGCTTCAATACGTACAATTACACGCAGTTCGAGGAGAAGTACAAGCCGCGACAGGCGTTCAAGTACGGCGACGAGTACCAGGAGTACGGTCGCGGTTCGACCAGGCTGGGGCCGAACGAGAGGTTCGCGAGATTATCGGCGAGACATCAGGACGGCGTCGGGAAGCCCGATCAGAGGTACGCCAGGAGTCACTCGCAGCCGGAGAGACAGCACCATTTGTCTCACGAGACGCGCTCCAAGTCGCAGGACTCCCGCGAATTAACGTTCTATCAGATCGATCCGCCCGTCAAGGCGGAGAACGTTCAGCACGTTCACGCCAAGTCGCACCGTTCGAACGCGGATAAGGGTCAGGGCAAGAAGGAGCTGACCTTTTACGAGATCGACGGCCCGGAGAAGAAGAACGAGAAGTTCGAGAGCTGCAAGGACAGAGGCGAGAAACGGGACAAGTGTCACGCGGGACAAGAGAAATCGACGTCGGGCGGGAAGCACGGGAAGCAGAGCCATCAGGAGCAGAAGACGCCCGCTCCGCCCAACTATCAGCTGAACAGGTCGCAGTCGGACCTCACCGAGTGTCAGCTGCCCAACTATTACAGACACCAAAACAACCCTTACATCGATCCGCCCAAGTACAGGCAGTTCGACAGGCCGCCCAAGTATCAGGAGACCCCGCCGAAGTCGGAGCCTCCACCCAAATACTCCGAAGTGGCCAGGCGACAGGACGATTGCAAACGCGTTCAGGTGAGCGACACGCCTCGACGACCCTAGGTCAACCCCACGATGCTCGAATCGCCCGAATACACCTCCGCTTACATCCACGCGGCGAACACCGTCCAGTCACGCGTCGACCGTGTTTTGTCATTAGTTCTGATTATTCGTTAAACCGTGCACGCGAAGTCTAATGACCGAATGCACTTTCCTCGATTACACAGCCGTTTAAAAAACCCAACTTTCTAGTTACCTCGACGCTGGGTCGACGTTCCTTTGGCGGTATTGATTTTTAACCCGTTTCGTTATAACTGATTTAATTTTGCACGATTAAACGTTGCAAGAATATTTTAGCTATAAATCAAATTCGATCTTCAAACATTAATTGTCTTAGCTTTCTGGCTGATCCATTTGCCATGAATGAGGGATTAGGGATTCCTGCTAGAGCTCGGTACATACGCGTACGGTGCACTATAGCCCGAGGATCTCTGCTCTATAACTACTTGGTACGTCGATAAGCAATTAGCGCAGATACAGAGTGAATTAGCTAAACCAACTCGGTCCAATAATTGAGTGAAATTGATTTTATTCCTCAAAGACCGCTATGGTGGTGTCTAAAGTCACTCGTACTACTTCTGCTACTACTGGAACGATTCCTAACCTGGCTTACAAAGTCTTGTAATATCTCCCTTTCAGGGACAATTTTGATTTTATATTGGGAATATAGCAACACGGAGCGAGATCAGCGCGATACGAAGGGTGGGCAATCGCGGAGATGCGTTTTCGGGTCAGGAATTCTCTGCGCAGGGCTCGCTTTGTGAGCCAGTGCATTATCGTATTGCAAGAGCCAGTTCTGGTCTTATGGGTGTAATCCGTTTCCATGAATGTTCCGAAACATCTAAATAATAATCGCCATCTGGCACATACTTACCATGGATCCCTACTAACATAAAAATTTCTTCTCGACTTCCTGAAAAATAGCGTAATTTCTTTCATCGTAAAATATTGTGGTATCCTCGATAAATTGTTATTTATTTTACATCAGTTGCTTCTTCGTCTGTCATAGCGAAAATTTACTTTCACTTGGCTATTGAACTAAACAATCTCAATCTGAAATTTGAAAGGAAATAAGTTTGAACAGGAAATAGGAACGTTACGTTTTAATTTCATAAAGAATCGTACAGTTTTGGTCCGCGTTAAAACAGACAAAAGTTTCCGAGTTCCGAGAGTGAAACTACCCTCTTGGAGCATCCCTTAGTCGCGACCAATAAATTCCTGCCCGTCCTCGACGCCGAATCCTTCCGTTTCTCCGAGTGGCCGATCGAGGCGGGCTCGAAGGGCGCCGACTCCTGTCCGAGATGCTCGCCTGGCAGCCTGTTCCTGGTCGTTTCCGGTTCCGTTTTCGCCGCGCTCGATCGCGGAGTGCGCGAATCACGGCGATTAGCGGTCACGCGTAACGTTATCAATTCGACAGGAGGAGAGGGGCAAACGACAAGGAGCCGTAGGAGGAGGGAGCATCGGGATCGGCAGCAGCAGCAGCAGCAGCGGCGGTGGCGGCGGCGTTGGCGGCAGCGGTGGTGGTAACTTCAGCAGGGGGACCGCCGGCACTCATGGCGCCGAGACGCCCTCTAATCTGGCCAGTATCACGCCAACCGCGCGAGAAGCAGCACGTGGTCCTTCGTCGCGTACGCGTATACCGTACAAGTCGTGCGACACGCGCTGCCCGAACATAAACAACAACAACGTCGTGAAGGAGGACCAGTACCAGGAGATATACGACGAGCCAGAAGTGATTACCAGGTGCCACGCGGACGTTCCAAAGTCCCATCATCACCCGAGTCGGTCGTCGTGCGTCGGTGGTAGCGGTGCAATTTCCGGTAATGTCTGCCACGGTGGTTCCGGTGTGTCGTGCGAGGCCGCGACGTGCGACAAGTACAAGGACGCCGTGGACTGTTTGCTGAAAGCCAGCGAGGCGGTCCAAGGTCGTTTGTGCGAGAGATCGATGCTGAAGATCGAGAAACCGACCACGAAGGCGATCGTTCACAGTGTCGAGACACCGGTGAAGTGCGGGGATAGAATGAAATCGGGCCAGCACGAGCAAACGGTCAAGTCGAAGGGACACGATGCCGGTCACGGGTTCAAGGTCGAGAGCATCAAGTACTACGGCGAACTGAAGGGTTACGACTACAAATCGTACGGTACCATCGACAAACCGGCGGCCACTGCCCACGAGAAGTCGCATCTACACGGACCGGAGAAGAACGGTCACGAGAAGTGTCATTCGAAGACGCCCTCTTCTTCCGCGATGCAGAGCTACGGTCTGGCCAAGGTCGCTGGTGAACGCCCGCCCGAGAAGAGCCCGTACGCCGATCACTATTATCACCGATCGTCGCACTCGAAGCCGCAAACCGCGTATCAAGTGTACCAAGAGACCAAGTACTCGTACAACGTGAGCGGGGTGCCCGGGACGCCGGCACAGGCCAGCGCAGCCGCAGCTTTCTTCGCAAGGTCAGTTGCACGATCCACTATACTACTCGCGATCACGCGCGTCCACCTGTTTCCGCCTAGATTTACGACACCGCCGTTCGCCTTTCGTTCTTTCGCCAGTCATTGTTCCTTCTGGCCATCTGTAATTGTCCGCCTCGTGGCTACCGTTTGTTTACGTGACGCGTCCTTTAACTGGGCGTCGACTCGTCCGCCTGGAAAGACTCTATCGTTGTCCGCGAGACAGAATCTATCGTCCCGACGATGGACATTCGCGTGTACGATCCGCGTACCGATAACTTCCGCGGTAAACACGCGCGACAACCCGTGTCCTTCCGTCGTCCTCGAGACCGTTCGTTTCAGTATCGCTAAAGGCTGGAATTTTTAGTCTATTCTACCCACTCGGAAATGTTTCGGATTTTCAGAAGCTTGTTCCGTATATTAAATCCTCGGGTGAATCTTGCGGTGTTACGTAGAGTGTATAACAAGATGTCGTTTCTAAAAGAATGGCGTCAAAGTTACGGCACACGGTGATAAACCGTGTAGAAAGTTCGGTTGAGAGTTTTATAACTTTCTCAATTTTGTCACAATCTTTTCTGCGCAATACTTCCGCGACTTCAATCTTGGAGAAAATGCAAAAAGAAGGTTCGAAATTAGCAAACTCTACCTTCTTACCCTCGATCGTGGCGGCGACTCTGTACAGAAATATGGTAGCTCGAATTAATATTCCAAGTTCCATTTGTATCATTATGTCCGATCGTCTTTCACGGTTGGTTTCAGATTTTTTACTCAAAGTTCTTCCCGTTGACTCGCGCCATTTATCATGTAACGGATCAAAAACGTTGAATTTACTTTCGTCCGCAAATATTGCATCGTTCCACCGCGTTTGTTCTTCGGAAGCAAAGTGCACGGCAAACATTAATCTTTTCTTTCGATTTACTTCATTTGTGTGTAGCTTTTTACGAGCCGGTGTACGAACCGACTCGACGAACAATGACCGGATATAACATTTTTGTAGCTTCCGCGAACGATATTCTGTAGCCAATTTTACAGTACTTAATCTAATGAGATTCTTCATACGTTACGTCTTTTCCTACGCATTATACGAAATACAGCAATTTTATGTTTGTACACTCCAGAGACTCGTTAAGAAGATTTAATTAAACTGCAACGTACGGAGTACAAATGTACAATTCATTTCTAAGGGTTGCGTACATAATCCAACAGAGACTCGAAGGAATAGCACGAGAATATAATTTGATTTTATATTAGTAATTTAGGTTTCGAAAAAAATATAATTGTATAGAACGAGTGCACGAAACGACAGCTCGGATAACAGCACTTGAATAAAAGTGACGCTGCACCGCAATATTCCTTGATATTGAAAAAGCCTTTGATCGCGTCGAGGCCTCTTTATCAAATTAGCAGAAAACCTTTGCAATCTCACAATTTCGTACTAAAATCTAAGATCGTTGAACACGAAATTTTATCATTAGAAATTTCCATAGGCAGAGTTTCCAGAGGATGTCCGAGCAGATGAGTTCATCGACCACATCGATGGTTTCCATATATGCGGGCGATGGTCCGCAAAGGGTCGAAGCGTCCAACCGTGCGCTACTCTTTAATTGCAAAGATCGATTTCGGGTCAAATTCAGAACGGTGCGGTAGGATTATCGCTCTCTCGGTGCTCGGCGCGGAGAGAAGCATTCTTTCCCGAATAATTAACAACGATTCTCGCGCGTCGCGGTGGCCTTTTTTTCTCCCATTCACGCGTCCCGCGACAATGAAACGCCACGAGGGTGGCTGCGTTCTCGTACTCGATCGCGGATTCACGGGGATGAATTTGAAAGGCGATTGCCAGGGGAGGAGTATACCGCGTTCTTTAAGACGTCTGGAGCTTTGATCTCCGGCACGCGTTTTCGACAGGCGGCCGCGGAATGAAAAGCGGCGCTCGCGTGAGAGCGTTCAGTTCGGTCGAGCATAAATCGCGTGCGGTTTGCGCGGCGGTATAAAGCTCCTCCCGGTGTATCCCCGCGTGCTCCCTTTAACCCGACCACGACCCACCCGGTCGTTTAATAAACCTTAGTCACGGCTGGTGGATGTCGCGAGGCGGTGTTCTCGACGACGCTCGACGCCGCGCGACTAATTACGAGGACCGGCGTTCGATAACGATTTATCGCGAAATCGATCCTTCCCCGATCCGCTCCATTAACTTGGACAACGATCTTTTTATGCCACGAAAGAAACTACCCTGGCGGAATGCTCGCGGCGTGTCGCGCGATAATGAAAGGTATAATCGCGAATCGAGCGGTAAAAGTCTGTCGGTATGCGTTCTAGCGATGGAAGCAACCGAGCAGGCGCGACTTACGATCGTATTAGATTGTTTTAAAGCACAGAGGATCGGTGGAAACGACGATGCACCCTTAATAACATCGACGGAGCTGCTACCCTTTGGCTGATCAAAAATCGATTCACTCTTCGACGACAGAAAGTTCTTCGGCTTGTTATCGTTCGATTTTTGATTCGGGTATTCTCGTTTCTATCGGAGACCACATGGTCGCGTTGGGTTCCCAGGAATGCCCGAAATTCCCGATAATGTTCTGGATTTTCGCGAATATTCGAGATTCCCGAATATGTTCAGGATTCCTGGAGAAAATATAATTTATAAAATTATTGAAACTTGGAGAATGGAAAATCGATGAAATAGAAGTCTGCCCTGGTCTAGATCTCATCCATAGAGTTGTGAAAATAATGTAATAGAATACTCTAAGGTCCGACTCGCGAATTCACGTGTTCGATTCCATTTCTAGCGACACCGATAAATACTGTCGCGACATCGCTGGAACGATCTTTAAAAAGCCGAATAAGTAACGTATCGTTAATGGATGGTGTTATACAGTGGTCCTCGACCGATCGTGCACCGAGTGTGAATGATTTCAATGGACTCGTGTTGTCGGAGAGTGGCGCCTCGTTTCGTTTCTCGCGACGTTCGTTCGGGATTCTTTGGAATTGGCGTTCACCGTCTCGTAGAAGAAGTGGTCGTGCGACGAGAATTGAAATTAATCGCGCCTCGACGAGCCGCTGCGACGTACCTTGTTCTCCTTTGTGAAACTACTGGTTTCACGCCTGGCCAACAAGTATATTCCACCTGCGTTCGCGAGAGTGCCGCAGGTGGAAACAATCGACGCCGGAATACCTTCACGAATATGTTTCTCGACATAATTAAAACTCATCCCCCTCTCGAACGAGAATTCTCCATTTTTCTCCGTGCACGATCGTCCGTCGACCAGAGACTGACAAAACGCAGTCGACCGAAGTTGCAAAGATAATTAAAAAATAAAGCAAACCGGTAGATCAAATTTACTCCGAAGTTTTGAGGATTGGACGCGCGCCGAGAAACTTTTCATCGATATTTATCGAATTTGACGCGAAATATTGTCGAGATTCGAAACAGCCTGGAACGTTTATCGTTAAACATAACCGGCGATAAAGTTTCGGACAACGTCTGCGATGAAACAATGTGCTAGAGTCGAAGTTAACCGTCGCCTCCGGACACTTAATTTGGGCCTGGACGGTTCGCGATCTGTGTGCTCCCGGAGTCTCGTCAAGTATCGTCTTGTTTTTGCAACGAGATCTCATCCGAAGTTCCCGGAATACGAGTATCGTCCCGTTACTTTCGAACTTCATGAATATTCTCGAAACCTTTCCCGCCCGGTGGCAAATAAATAAAGCGCGAGGCAGGGGGACGAAACTTGCATACACCGCAGCTCAAAACCGGGAAACTGGACTCGCGCTCGCCACTATATAATTTTTAACTCGCTCGATTACAAGGAACCGGAACGTACGCGGAATAAAAACGATTCGTTATCTTTATACGAGTTTATACGACGATTGAGCTCCCAAAATTAAACGAGTTCTTCCTATAAAAATTTCAACGGAGTTTATTCCGAGATTCGGTAACGATTTAGTATCCGTTCGAAAGGGTTGCGCAATTTTACATCGCGCGTGGATCGTTGCTCGTAAAATGAAACCAAAGTTCAATTTTAATGCAGTCTACCGTGGAATCGGCAACTTTGCCCCTTTCGAGCGTCAATTATTTAAGCCTCGTCTCGCGCTCTGCGATCCAGTAACCAGAATATCCGATCTCATCAATACCTATCGTAATGATACGCAGTCTTCTGACTTCTAAAATGTTAATGAAACGTTTCCAAAGGATGCAGGTACGCGGGAGTTTTGAGCGGCAGTGTAGCCTCGCGTATGACGACGATCTTTTTCGAACTCTTCTTTTATCCTCTCGACTCCGTCCATTTCCCGATGGGTTTGCTAAGGCCAGCCCCGGATGAAGTTAGAATTTCCGAAGTTGCGAAACGACGTAGCGTCGCGGTTGTTGCGAGCCAGTCGCGACAAATAAAATTGACCCGGGGCGTTCGTCGTTCTCCCGCCGGAGAAAGGAAGTTAGCAGAAATAGAAGGCGAGAGGATATAAGGCGAAGATGGTGGGCCAAGTCCGCCCGTATTGTTAGTCGTCGTGATTTTATTGCCCTTTTATATTGCCTTCGCGCTTCTCCTTCTCACGACGGTCGCTTCTTCGCGCGTTTCGACTCGTTCGTCCTTTATTTCGTCGCGGCGCTCCGGTTTGCCCCGCTCGCAACACCGATTTTTACGAGGCGATTCACCGCTTCCCGACTCGCGCTGGAAATTGCAAACATCGACGCGCGTGCACCGCGATCGGCTGTGATCGGCCCTCGAGAAATAATATCCCGCGTGAGCCCTCTGCCTCGATTTTCACCCTCTCGCGGAGTCGTCGAACAAGTGCAAAACACCCAATTACCGTCGAATAAACAATCCGATATTTCTAGAAAGTGTAGCTTTTCGCTCATAGAGTCCTAGGGTTCTCTTAAGTATCGATCAATTATCCGAAGAACATTGAGGTACCATAAACAAAGGCATCGAAGTTTTCGCTGAAATTTCAGCGGGAAGACTTTGAGATCGGTTACAAACGAGAATCCGTACGCTCCTTGTTTC